CGGTAGAACCCGCCCCACAACCGAGAGCCGTCAGTGGAGCGTGGCCAGACTAAATAATACATTTATTTAGTCTGGCTTGCCAGGCTAGTTAAAAGGGAGTTCTATGAACTCCTCCTGACCACCAGAGGGCGATGCATAGCACAGGAGATTCACATGTGCGCAGAGGTTGAGAAGAAATACCAACAAAGTCACTCATTGGACGTGACCCGGGTGACGTGGTGGCAGTCTATATAAACTCTACGCCACCGAAATCAATCCTGTTTTGCGTTCTCGCCTTGTGCAGAAGTTCGATACTATTTGTTTGAATAGCCGCTCTCGCTGGTAGCTTTGCAACCGCTTGGTTGGGGTTACGGGCCTTACATCCTCCAGAAGCTGCGAGGCACGGACTGATTTATGTTCCACAGAGCTTTTGTGAGTATTTTCCTGTTTATCAGGTTCAGCCCAACTGGCTGTCATAGCTAGCTGTTAGCTCTATCATGCTACTGCTCTTGGACTTGAGTCAGCTGACACTATTCACTCCCATTTCTAGCTTTGCTACGCCGTGTTTCACTAGCGCTCACTTCTGTTTAATCGCTACTCTGCGGTAATAGCCTTCGCTGCTCAGTGGTGAGCGGTTCTCAATCCAGATATTGTACAAGGGGCTTTGCCTTCTCCCTTGTAGGTGTACGGGTTTCGTTCCTCGCGTTGTTTATTGTTCCACCGCGAGCGTTCCCCACTCTGTGCCTGTATCACTGTCCGGTGTTCTGACTAGAAGTGCTTCCTTGTCGAATATTCCTACCGCAGCATGTAACGACAGTTTCACTCTTGTTTACAGTATAGTAACATGCTTATTAAGCACAGTTTATTTTAAATATGTGATATTACTCAAAAACACAGGACTGTAGTTCAATTATTAGCAAAAATATACAGTGTTCGTCGTGATTTATTTATGAAAAAGACCGTGTGTGTCATGATATTTATGTTTATGTATTTAGCAGATGCTTTTGTCCAAAGTGACTTACAAGTGATAATCGGCATGTTGCCCTTGAGGCTAACAACAATAACAACAACAATAACAACAACTTGACATCAATCATGGAGAGGAGGGAACAAGGAGTGGACGGTAGAGGGAGGACGGGTGCAGGGAGGTGGTAGTTTAGAAGATGCTCTCTGAAGAGCAGGGTCTTCATTCCGTGAATGACGGTAAACAATGGGAGAAATTCTTGCAGTACGATAACGATATTTTACAAGCTAACTGTCAGATAAACATGCAACAAGCAGTAATATAGCAACTTCCAGAGGTAGTGCGTCTCTTCAGGTAAACAGCCTGTGACGTAGTAATCGGTCCGCACATGCGTATTTCTCCAAAGTAGCACGTATCAACGAGTAGCATGGATAGTCGGAACAACAGCACCAAGTGCTTCCCAGTCCGTGCCTATATCATTGTTGGGCTGCAAGCTTTCCCTCGCTCTAGGTCGTGAACTATTGCTCTGTAGTGAGCAGGTTTTGCTTCGAGCCTGGCATTGTAGTTGTTAATGGTGGTGGTTCCCCCAGATACTGGTGTAGGGGAGGTTGACGCTATCTCTATTGCTGCTTCTGACTCCATTGTCAGAGTCTAGGATTCCATTTGTGCTGAGTTACTGGAGGTGGAAGGACTGTCCAGCTGTCGCTACCTGTCCAAATAACCGTTGTGCACGCCCTTAATGCAGGGTCATTGATGAGCTCCTTACCAAGAGGTATGACACAGCTGCTCACCTGGGCAACTCCCTTTCACACTTAGCTCTTGCCCCCTCTCAGTCTCTGTAGCATGGGTTGATGACGCTACTCAAAGCCCGAGTGATGTCTCTTAAATACAAAAAACACAATATAAACACAAATGCACTATCTTGGACCGGATACATGATAGGATACCACAGAACAGTGCAACACCCTATGTTGTCCTGGCAGGGAATTGCTTTGCAACCCGAAGGACACAGGCGTGCACGGCACCTCAGGCACCTTAGGCCCTGGGGGATTGTGGACTTCAACTGCACGGGCATTCCTTTGGGCTCTCTTCCTTCCTGACGAGAGTTCATTGTCACAGATGCGTCTCTTTCAGGCTGGGGAACTGTGTGGAAACAGAATGGTCAGGGGAGTCTGGAATTCTCAGGAGAGACTTCTACACATAAATGTTTTGAAACTGCATGCTGTTCACCTGGCTCTTGAGTACTTTCTCCCTGCCCTAGAAGGGAAACCTGTCCTTGTTAGGTTGGACAGCACATCTGAAGTCCTCCACATAAATCACCAGGGGGGCATCAGATCCACGCACTCACTGGCGGAGGCTCGAAAGCTTCTCCTGTGGACCTCACCCTGTCTTCAGTGTCAGAGCAGCCCACTTGCGCGGTGCACAGAGTGGTGCTGCAGATCTCCTGACAGGAACCTCCTCCGGAAGGATGGAGATAGAACCAGGTCGTTGTGGAAATGATCTGGCAGAGGTATGGTGCAGCCGAGGTGGACCTCTTTGTTTCGAGCATGACAACACATTGCCTGCTGTGGTTCTCCCTATTGGAACCAGACAGCCCATTGGGTCAGGATGCTCTGGCACATCCATGACCGAACAGCTTCCTGTTTGCCTTCTCTTCTTCTTCTTGGGACCTTCCTCTGGTACTGGAAGGCTCCACCCTTCGAGCCTGTTGAAGGTGCCAAACTCCGCTGGGTGTCAGTCAAAACCGCCTTTCTGCTGGCACTCTTTTGCGAAGCATATGAGTGAACTCCATGCCCTTGTGGCAAGGTGGAGAAACGAGGGCCCGTGCAGGATTCGATCCCCAGACTCCCGGTGAGCGTCATGCGCGCTAACCAGTCAGCCAAAGGGACATCCCCTTGGCCAAGTAGCCAGGGCGCATGATCAATCGGGACACTGTGACAGGATGTTCACACCGCCAAACCCTGTCAGTCGCTGAGTGTTGTTTACGATGGAGAGCAGATGGGTCTGGGGTGACCCTATGGCCCAGCCCAGCCTTCTTGCCTAAAAGTCAACTTTTCATATTAACCAGGCTGTTTACCCAGCACTCTGGGTCAGATGTGTCTGCTGAGAGCCCAGTGTGTTCTGTTGGGATGTTGAAGCGGTACATCGGTGTGACTGCTGAGACTCATAAGACAGATACCCTGTTTGTTTTCTATGGGGGGGTCACATAAAAGGTTGTGCTGTTTCCAAACAACAACTTTCACACTGGGTCGTTGATGCCATTCTGCTGGCGTACACTTCCAAAGGTCTGGCGTCACTAGAAGGATGTCTGCTTCTTTGGCCGTGCTTAAAGGCGTCCCACTGAGTGACATCAGTGCTGCAGCTGCGTGGACGTCATCCTGTACATCCGCCCGTTTCTACAGAGCGAATGTGGCTGCTGCCCATGCGTTGGCTTCAGTTGTTATCCACCTCATCTCTCCACAGCTGATAATTGGCGAGTGTGGACTCTTTGTCACTTTGTTGGTATTAGGTGATCCAGTGCTATGCACCGCCCTCTGGCGGTCAGGAAAATTGAAAAAGAACGAGTTGCGTATGTAACTGATGTTCTATAAATTCTGCATGTCGCCAGTTATCTGTCACTCAAGAGTACTGCGAGTATTCCAGAAAAGGACTGATTTTCAGTGGCGTGGGGTATAGACTGCTACCACGTCACCTGGGCCACCTCTGATGAGTGACTTTGTTGGCATTTCTTCTCGACCTCTGCCCCGTGCCTATCTGGTCGGGAAGTCATAGAACTTTAGTTACATACGTAACTCTCATTTTCCTCTCCACTGTCGCTACATGCTTGTTTTTGGTAAATGGCCTGTATTTGTATAGCACCTTCTTAGGGTTCTACAACCCCCCAAGGCGCTGGTAGGGACGAGCTATGATAGCCACAGTTGCCCTGGGGAAATGATAAAGTTGTAAGTTTACTTTTCTTCCCAAAATCAATAAATTTACGTATTTAATTTCTTTTTACTTTCACCTAATTTCTGTCTGTATTTTTCTGGTTGCTGGTCCTTTTTAGTCCACTTGGACGGACACTCCTCCACCTCCACTCACTTTATGTAGGGAAACACGTCCTTCTGTCTGCGTTATAATTCAAAACATAACCAAACTTGTGCTGACGAACTGGCAGGATTAAATAATCTGAATGTTTTAAATTATTCTGTAATTTACCAGAATTAATACACAAAAAGTTAAAATCAGTCGAGAGCGATTGGATGTTTTGAAAGAACTTGATTTGTATTTGAACATAACAATGGTTAATGGCTCGTATTTGATAGTGTCTTTTAGTCCTGGAACCCACCAAGACACTCTACAACACAATCATTCACAGCCTGGTGGTGATGAGCTACATTGTAGCCACAGCTGCCCTGAGGCGCACTGACAGAGGCGAGGCTGCCGTACTCGGGCACCACCGGTCTCTCAGACCCCCACCAGCAGGCAAGGGGGATTTAGTGTCTTGCCCAAGGACACAACAGCGACAGAATGAGCGGGGCTCGAACCTGCAACCTTCCGATTACGGGGTGAGCACTAAACTCCTGTTCCCGTCACCCACAATAAAAATATCCTCTCGTCCCGTAGCAGCTTCCACAGCGCTGACGAAAGCAAATAAAGGAGTTTGTGGGTTCCTTTAGCTGTTGTGTCAGGCTGAGCTCGGCACATGGGACCGTTCGATTTCTGGAGCAGAAACACAGAAACGAGCTAGGAGACAACAGAAGAGCCCCCCCGCAAGCACTAACCCGTCAGAGAAACTGTCAGCCTCCAAATCCTGACCCAAGTCGCCCTCTAAGAGGATCAGATCTAAATATACACAGGTGCCTCAGAGCGCCCGCGTAAGCAGGTGAACACATGAAACATGCGGCGAGGCGGCTTCAGCGTGCAGCTCACGAGAAACGGTCGTGCTAAAGGTCAAAAGTGACCCCTTATGCAGACGTGTGTGTGCTAGGAAGTCCCGGAGCTTCAGGATGGGAGTGGAACAGGAAGTGAGTCATCAGAGAACCAGGAAACAGGCTGTGAGCTGTGGCGGTTCTGATCCAACCCAGAGCCAGAACACGACAGAAAACAGACAAAAGGATTTTTAAATAATTTATCCTTTACTTTACAGTCGTTGATGCAGACGGAACAACAAGGGAAATATTTACAGGAAAGCAGAAAGTCGATGATTTGTGATTATTTCAGATGAAAAAGGCAAAAAAATAATAATAATAAACCATATTTTATTCATCTGCTGCAAAAACAACCAACGTGTACGCGTTAATGTTCACTTTGATAGAAGAAAGGTGAACTGAGTGAATAAAGGTGATAAAAGCTGCGGCTCCTGACCGTCCATGCAGCTCAGATTTACAACGTAGTAAAAAAATCACCAAAGAATAAAAACTGGTGTTCGTCACCGGCCTGCAGGGTTAAACCAGCATCCCTGCCTCGGCTCGGGGGAGAGGTCAAAGGTCAGCACCAACCCAAGTTCTATAAAAATAATCCAGGTTTGTACACCAGGCTGTGTCCAACCATCCATGACCTTCGCCCTGACAGGACCTGGGAGTAAACCCACTTCCCTATCGGACGTACTGGGAACGCGGGCTGCTCTCCCGCCTCGCTCAGACCACGAAACCCAAACCTCTGAATGTAGTTTCTGATTGTCGGGCTGAACACACACAAGTCTTCCTGGTTTCCTTCCTTTTCCTTACACAATGCTAAATAAAGCGGAGCGAGTTAAACCAGGTGTGTGACTCAGGTGAACCTCGGGTCACCGAGGCCGCCCGCTGGCAGGAGCAGCAAAAACAAAAGATGGATGACCGCTGGAGATGGGAGGTGTGTGAGCCTGACGGGCAGAAGGGAAAGAAGCCCTTCCTCGAGAAAAACCAAGAAAATGTGAGCGAAATGAGGGTCGTGGACCCAGAAGGTCCAGCTACTCAGCAGCAGCTGCCACGAGAGCTCACAAGTAGAAAAATAAATAAACCACACAGAATATAGACTCGTGTTTAGATATCTTCATCTTTCTCCAGAAAACAGAACACAAGCGCTTGGGTCAGGGTCAGGGTTAGGGTTAACCCTGACCCTGACCCTGGGTCAGAACCCCGTTAGAATCAGAAGACCAGATCTTTTCAGACATCAATAATAAAATAGAAATCTACCGCTGACCCCACCCCCGCACGTTTGTGTCCATCAGGCAGAGCTCCGCTTCCGGCGGCTCACTGGCAGAAGGGCGAGGCCGTGGGGTCGAAGCCTTTAAAAACCTCCTTTAGGGAGGCGTTGTCCGGATCGGAGGCGGCCTGCTCCGTCTGAGATGGACTGTTTCCTCCGGGCTTGGCGGCCTGCTTAGCAACACCAAAGAGAGAAGACACGGGGAGGTTGTGGACTCCCGCGGGCCCCGGCTCTGCAGCAGATCCAGGGCTCAGCCCTGCAGCAGCTGCAGCAGGACCGGTCGGACCCGTGGAGTTAGGCGAGGGAGCCGATTTGGGCCGGGGTCTGTTGTAGCTGTTATATCGATCAGTGCCTTGCTCTCCACCCTTCTCTGGTTCTGGTTGGTCCAGTGCAGACTTACGGACAAAGAGGGGCTCCTTGGACTTGGGTTTACCAGAGGAGGGGTCACTGGGCTTGGACTCTGTGCTGGCAGAGTTGGGGGAGTTGTTAGAACCACTGCTGGTACCAGGACTTCCTGGTTTGTTAGTCCTGGGGTCATAAAGGCTGATGCTGCTCAGCACACTGGCTCCCCCTGGTGCCCCGGTGCCCACACTGCGCCCCGCTCCTCCGGAGGAGAGGATCCTCGGGTCGTACGGGGCGATGGATGGAGGGGAGGGGCAAGAGGATGCAGGAGGAGACGTAGCGAGGGCAGGCGGTGCAGACACGGGTTCTGATGGCTGCTTCAGAGCAGACTTCTGCGGCTGCAGACGGGGGTCAGAGGGGGTCTTACGGGCCACCCGAGGGTCAGCCAGTTTTTCTGCAGCTGAGGTAGTCATGGGGGGGGGCTGAGCCAGCGCTGACCCAGAAGCAGCAGGAGAGGGGAGGTGAGGAGGAGATGCCGTTTGGGAAGGGCTGGAGTTAACGGTTTTCAAAATCCGGGAAAGCAGCTCAAAGTCAGGAAGGGAGGAGCCTGAGGAGGACGCGGGGGCGTCTGTGGAGGCAGGAGGCTGAGAGGGGGGGGACTGGGATGTGTGGAGCTGCTGCTGAGCTCTGGACAGGTGAGGATCCCGGGAGGCCACAGGAGGGATACCTGGTGGGAGGGGCAGGAGGTCCTGCTTAGGAACGGGGAGGGGGAGGAGGTCTTCAGGGGACCATGTGATGGTTTTAGAGAAGGCCGGTATGTGAAGGATGATGTCCTTCTTGATGTGGCTGAACTGCTGCAGCTGGGAGCGCGGGTCTCTCAGTGCCATGCCCATGAGCGGGTCCAAAGGAACTGGAACAGGCTTGTCCCTCAGAACTCGCTCTGTCTCCTCCTCCTCTGCTGCCGGCGCCGTCAGGGGTGGGGGCCTGTAGACCAGAGGGGGTTCTGATTTTGAAGCAGGAGGCGGATGTGAGGCGGCTGCTGCAGAACTCAGTCTGGCTAGTCTGGGATCTGCTGGAGGTCCGGAGGACGGAGCCGACCCGGACAGGGCCGAGTCCGAAATGTGGCCCGACTCAGGGGCGCGAGCCAGGCGCGGGTCTCGGGCCAAGCGGGGGTCAGCCGGACGAGCAGGAGGGGGGTTAGAGGGCGGAGCCCTGAGGAGACGGGGGTCACTCGGGTGGCTCTCGGTCTTCTGAGGAGCCTGGGTCTGTTGGCGGAGGGTCTTCAAGATGGAGGTCACGCTGCTACCACCATCCTCATCCTCACTGGAGTACCAGTTACCAGAGTCACCTGGGGGGGGGGGGGGCATGAACACACAGAACACAGATTGGCTCATCGTTAGAGGTTTCTATGTGGTTCCTCACCAGAGCTGCTTACTGAGCTAAGATAAACTGGAGCTCAGACGGACCGCCTTACCTTCCACCTCTTTATTCTTTTCTGCTCCTCCTTCAGTCATCCTACGAGCTCTCTCCTCCTCCTCCTGCTGCTTCTGCTGGATCCTCATGAACAAGACGCGCTGAGCCGGTGGCAGGAAGTCTGGAACGGAGATTCCTCCCTGGCTGGCCAAGGAGCCGTTAGCACAACCTTCTTGGCCTCCAGACTGACTAGTGAACTTTCCTGCTGCTCCTCCATCATCCAGACCAGGAAAGCTCTGGTAGTTTTCACCTGAGAGGAAACAGGAAGTTGCAGCTTAGTTTGAAGACAGTCCAGTTTTTTAAGCTAGTTCTGTACTTCAGTTCCATCTTTCACCTTCTTCCACCACGCCCTCCATCGTCTGGCCGTCCTGCTGACCGCAGAAGTTGTTGAAGAAGTTTCCTCCCCCCTGTGGAGGACCAGGAGCCCCATCACTGGGTCCAAATGCGCCCATCATGGGGGATCCACCAGGTCCTACGTTTAGGGGGCCGTGGTTCACGCCGAGATTGGGGCCCATGTTCTGCATGTCAGGAGGCATCATGCCTGGAGGGGCAGGGAAGCGGGATGGGGCAGCTCCTGGGGGGCCCTGGGGTCCAGGAGGGGACGCCTGACCTTGGCTGCCACTGGGAGTCTGGCTCCTGACAGAGGACAGGACACTTAATAAAAGAATTAAGATTAAGAATTAAAAGAGAGATCATATCTCTCCTGTCTTAGCTTCCCTACATTGGCTACCTGTTAAATTCAGAATAGATTTTAAGATCCTTCTTCTCACATATAAAGCTCTTAATAATCAAGCTCCATCATACATCAGTGATCTGATTGTTCCATACGTTCCTAACCGAGCACTTCGCTCTCAGACTGCAGGTTTACTGGTGGTTCCCAGAATATCTAAAATTAGGATGGGAGGCAGATCTTTTAGTTATCAGGCTCCTCTCCTGTGGAACCAGCTCCCAGCTTTAGTCCGTGAGGCAGACACCTTGTCTACTTTTAAGACTAGGCTTAAAACATTTTTATTTGATAGGGCCTATGGTTAAAATCTGATGTTAGCCTAAATCTGGACAAGTGGGGGAGTAGAGGGAGGTGGAGTGTACAGTCGGTAAAGACGGCTCTTCCTTGCCCTGACTCAGACATGCCTCCATCTAAATAGGATAGATTATCCAGAGTTATCTCTGTATAGGGCTGGGGGTAAACGATTATTTATAAAACGATTATTCTGACGATTATTTTATCGAATAGTCGACTATTCTAATGACTATTTAGAAAATTAATCTAATGATTATTTTTCTATTGCACAATTAACAAAAACCAGAAAATCTCAAATAAATTCCTCAAAAAAATTGATAAATTCTTACTGTAAGAGAATAAACACTACAGGCCTTCCATTTTGTATAACACTGCGTTTATTGTGTTGGTTGGTTATGTTCTGGTGACGTGTAGAACTTGGGAGTGCAGGCTGCTGCCTGAGAGGTGGTAGAAGATGGAGTGTCTCCATGCTGCTTTGTTTTGGTCACTTATGTGCGTGAGGCGAGTGGTGTTACGGGTTAAACCAAACTCAGGTGGTATTTTACACTAAACCGAAAACCCACAACACTCTAAATGTAATGAAAGGGAGATCTACACCACAAAAAAGATGAACTCTAAACCAAAACGTAACAGCTTATCCCAACGCAAGAAGCTGTTAGCGAAGATGCTAACAGTAGCTTTACCAACATTAAGTTCAAGTTACCAAGTTTAAATAAACCAAAAACACCCAGCAGCAAACAGACCAGCACGGAGGAGAGACTGCTACCACCAAAACAGCTCTCCTCATGTCTGAAAGAAGCTCCTTAATGAAGGGAGAAGCGCTCCCGGTGATTTTCTACATCTGCGGTAGGCACGAAGCAGCGCATCTGACCCCGGAAGTTGTTGTCCGTTGCCGGGAGACGAAGGGGCAAAACAGGAAAATAATCTAGTAGTGGACGGACGTTGTTCCGGGTCTTCGGTATTTGGCGGAGATGTTAGTGAAGGCGGAGAAGAGGGCGAACTAGAGGAAAAACAGGCAGATTCCTCCTCTATTTACAAACTCCTGGGGATGCAACAAGTGGGCGCGGTGCGTCGACTTCCGGATCTGTCGTCGACAAATTTTTAGAATCGAGCCGTCGACTTCGTCGAGGCTTCGCTACAGCTCTCTCTCTGTAGTTATGCTGCTATAGGCTTAGACTGCTGGAGGACACACTGACCACTTCTCACACTCGACTGCTTTCTTCTACTATCTGCTCTTTAACTGTATTATTTCCTGCTATTTCAGCTGTTAACTTTATTTCTCTCTAAGTGTTTTTCTCCCCAGAAGAAGCTACAATGATGTTCTGCTGAGCTGTGGTGGCCTCATGGAGGGGGCCATCGTCTAGCACACTGTTGCTAACCACTTAACCATTCTCTCTCTCCTGATAATAACTTTTTGGTTTCCTTGACGTTGGACGTGCTACTACTAGTTTACCCGTTTAATTATAGATCCACTAGGATAAATACAATAAAGTTTATCTCTCACCAAATAGAATATTTACTAAGACATCACAATGTAACCTGTGTGTGTGTGTGTGTGTGTGTGTGTGTGTGTGTGTGTGTGTGTGTGTGTGTGTGTGTGTGTGTGTGTGTGTGTGTGTGTGTGTGTGTGTGTGTGTCTGCTCTGTCTTCTCCATCCCCAGTGAGTCGTGGAGGATGGCTGCTTATACTGAGCCAGGATTCTCTGGAGGTTTCTTCCTGTTAAAAGGGAGTTTTCCTCTCCACTGTCGCTGCATGCTTGCTTAGTATGAGGATTGCTGTATAGTCACTGACACTAGTCAGTGACTTGATGCAAGTTGCTGGGTTCCTTATATAGGACACATTATTTCTGATTGGCTTAGTGAACTGACCTGAATTGGAATGTTTATTATGGGAAGTGCCTTGAGACGACTCTTGTCGTGATTTGGCGCTTTATAAATAAACTTGAATTGAATTGAATTAATGAGTTTTTACGGCACTGGAGAACAAGACACGACTTCAGTAAAACCTGCATCAGCTGTTCATGCTGTCAGGAATCAAGCCCCGCCCACCAGCTACTGGCCAGAGGGCAAAAGGGTCGTGCCCCCCGCTGGCCACCATTGCCGTTGTTACCGGTTAGTTGTCCATGAACAGCAGCTAAATAAAAGCCGTCAGCAAGGCTAACACAAGCAGCGCTGCACAGGTGGTGAGGTACGGCGAAGGCAGAGGTGGTCAGAGCCGAAGACGCGACACGTCCTCAAACACGGGTCAGGGTTAGTTGTGTTTACTGAGCTGGACACGTACCTGCTACCTATACCCTCCTGAGATCTGCCCAGCCTCTCATGTATCTCCACTAACCCAGACCCATAATTCTGGTATGAAAACCGACGTTCCGCCCTCGTCCGCTAGCGTCAGACTGTTAACCGCGGTTAACACCCATAAAAACATCTCCAACGCCGCCTATAAAAGACAACGGCGTGACCCGCATAGACAACAGAACCAGTGACAACCACCATCGGCACCGCTTCACTTCCACCTAGGAAGCGGTCTCCTGTGTGGGAATATTTCAGCTATATTAGATTTATTCCCACCAATTTAAAGGAAGCGGCGTCCCGACCAATCTCAAGCTTGTGGTCTCCGCCACCCTCGGCGAGTGCTAGCACCGACGCAGAATGGTGCTGTCTCCGTACGGATTAACGTTCTGATCAGCTGCTCAAAGATTATCTTCAGCAGTAAGATCTACATCTGCAACGCGTCCAGGCGGTTCTCCCACCATCATCCATGAATGGCTGTCACTACCTGAGCGACGTAAACGTGTTGAAACCAACGCGGTGACCCTTCGACCCCCACCCACCCAACAGAACAAACTTACCTGACAGCCAGTTTCTGAGCCAGCTGTCCCGTCGGCTGAACTTTGATCTCAAACAAAGACGGGATCTTCTTGCCAGCACAGGTTGCTGCTCCACCACCTGAAGGTGCAGGAACCATGTGGGGGGGAGGGCCACTGGGATTTGGGGGTGGGCCTCCCTGGAAGGGACTTCCTTCAGGACTATGGACAGGAGGGCCAACGTTGGGATTAGGGCCTGGAATGGGTACTGGAACAGGTGGACCTTTGCTTGAGAGAAGACCCTGGTTGGGTCCAGGATGACTGCCAAAGTCAGCTGGAGGCCCCCCAAAGTCCCCCACTCCTGTGCTGGTGTCCATGGAAACAGGACGAGGAGGAGTAGGGAGGAGGCCAACTCCAGGAGGAGGTTTGGGAAGAGGGTTGATCCCCTGTTTCTTCAGCTCCTCCACCTCCTTCTCATCCTCGGCTCCAGCTTCAGCATCTTCTGCGAGCATCTACAACAACAAGGTCTGACGTTTACGGAGGTCTAAGAACTCTTACACTCATCTGCAGACTTAGAGAAAACCTTAATGATGGCTTAAAGACCAGGGTCGGAAGATCCTTCATGTATTCACATGCTACAGGAATGATCACATTAGACATCAACCTCAAAAGGATCATAGACTCCTTTAGCAGAGCCCTGGAACGGCAAAACTGGGATGAAACGTATATAAATGATGTAAACTTGGCTCAGGCTCTTTTATAACACTGTGTAGTCAGCACGACATAAACCGCATAAACATGGCTGACAAACAGAAGCGAAGCTGAGCACAGATACAAGAAATATAAGAATAAATGAGTTTCAATAGTAATGTTATTACAGCGATCTACTAGAAAACAATATAAAGGCAACGTGGGGAATAATAAACATGTTATAAAAGACATAAATCAGCTTCAAATGTTCTGAGTTACTGACATAAACCATCCAAACTAAATCATCAATGAATGTAATAAATGTTTCACTAATGTGGGACCAAGCTTGGCCAACAACGTTCCAAAAACAACTAATTATAAAATATAAAAATGTTATAAGTTACAAAAATAGCATGTATAAAAACTCCTCCCTGACTGCGACCATTTAGACATAATAATAATAATATTAATGATGATAATAATAATAGTAATAATAATAATAATGATAGTAATAATAATAATAATGATGATAATAATAATAATAATGATAACAATGATAATAATAATAATGATAATAACAATAATAATAATAATGATAATAATAATAATATTAATGATAATAATAATAATAATAATAATAACGATAATAATAATAATAATGATAATGATAATAATAAAGATAATAATAATAATGATAATAATAATAATGATAATAATAATAATAATAATAATAATAATAATAATAATAATAATATTAATGATAATAATAATAATAATAATAATAATGATAATAATAATAATAATAATAATAACAATAACGATAATAATAATGATAATAATAACAATAATAATAATGATAATAATAACAATAATAATAATAATATTAATGATGATAATAATAATAGTAATAATAATAATAATGATAGTAATAATAATAATAATAATGATGATAATAATAATAATAATGATAATAATAATAATGATAATAACAATAATAATAATAATGATAATAATAAAGATAATAATAAAAATGATAATAATAATAATAATAATGATAATAACAATAATAATAATAATGATAATAATAATAACGATAATAATAATAATAACAATAACGATAATAATAATGATAATAATAACAATAATAATAATGATAATAATAACAATAATAATAATGATAGTAATAATGATAATAATAATAAAAGATATAACAGAGAATATTATCCATCCCTTTACTTACAAGCAGCATATTTCCTACCAAAATAAAAACAGCTAAAGTCATTCCACTTCACTAAAGTGGAGAAAAGCGTATCTTCTCCAACCACCGACCTTTCCCTTCTGCCACAACCTTAGAAAACATTAGAAAAACTAGATGTGACCAGACTGGACGCAGTCCTGAACACAGAGAATAAAGGAACGTTGTGCATCAATATATGGAGTCAAATGTGGAACAAATTAAGTACCGAATACCAAAACAACACACACCTTTAACGAACGTATCAAAAGCTTACATGATGCTATGAGACACACGTCTTCATGGAGGAGAGGATGAAAGGGAACACACACGGTACGTTCTACTTTGTTCCTTTGGAGCTTTTATTTTGGATGGATTGTTTTCTCCTTTCATTAAAATAAGTTAAAAGAGTAAACCGGGTCAGACATGTTGAACTATAATAATTTGTTGTCATTTGTATTTATTTTGGTTAACCTGTTTTGTTTTTATTTGTGAATAAATGAAAATAAACTTAAAAGCCCACCTTGTTGAGCAGCTCTTGTGTGTCGTCATTCAGGACTTCGTGTGAGAACATGCACTCATCTCCGTTCACACAGTTCCCGGTGGTGTGGAACAACTTACAAGGGAATTCACGTAAAACCAGAGTCAAGGATGAACAACGACAAGCGAATGAAACCCTTCACCCCAGAGCATCTACATCATCTCCACACTGAAGGATATCGTGCATGTAGGGGCAGTGGTCGGCCCGGGCGCAGAACCCAGTGATGTAGAACTTACACAGCTCCTTCTTCTTGGGCAGCTCGATGTCGTGGCTGAAGTTACAGTGGTCCCCCTGGTGGTGGAGAAGACCAACAGGACATTTCTGCATTGCTTGTCCCGTATGTGAGACTAAAGCATACGTTTCAGTTATTTACTGATTCTCCCTGTAAGACACGTTCTTTAGAAGAGCGTGATTTAGTCGCATGCATCGGTTTACAGCAGCCATGTTAGCCTCACAGAACGCTTCAGAACCACAAAACCTCCCATGATTCACTGAGTTTAGAGTAGAGAAGACTGGTGCCATCCTACCCAGGTGCACCTCCCTTCGATGTAGTACTTGCAGATGGCCTTTCCTTTCTTATCCTGGTGCTTTTCATTAAGGTTCCTCCTCCCTGGTCCTGCACCATCTCCTCCATCCTAAATCACACAAACAGCAAAACCACAATAAAACATCAGCGTTGCTTTGATGCTCTTCAGCTTCAGGAGCAAAGCCTTACCCCATTGTCCATGTCTCCATTGTTGTCATCATCGTTCATGTCACCTCTTCCTCTCCCTCTGTTCCGACCTCTTCCTCCTCGGATCATTCCTCGCCCTCCTTTACCTCGCCCTCGACTGCGGCCTCCTTTACCTCCTGGTGACAACATTAATAAAGAGTGAATTATGTGTGAGACAAAAGAAGATTTAAGCTACCGCTACTAGCCTGTTAAATTAGCGTTAACCTTTTAGAACATAGCATTAGCATTTAGTTGCTAGCCCATTAAATTATGATCTAGAGGGTGTAGCACCTTTCAGAGTCGGGACTCTAAAGCGCTTTACACTACAGAGCATCATTCATCCATTCGCACGCCGGTGGTAATGAGCTACAATGTAGCCACAACTGCCCTGGGGCGCACTGAGAGGCGAGGCTGTCGAGCACAGGCGCCTCCCTCCGACCACCACCAGCAGGCAAACTGGGTTAAGTGTCTTGCCCAAGGACACAACAGCAGCATTCTCTGTCCAGAGCCGGGATCGAACCTGCAGCCTTCTGATTACTGGCCCTAACCCAACCCGCTCTACCTGTTGAGTTACTGCTGACCCTTATGCTAGCAAACTAAGTTATCTTTTAGCTGCTAACCCATTACATTAGCATTTAGCTGCTAACCCATTACATTAGCATTTAGCTGCTAACCCATTACTTTAGCATTTAGCTGCTAACCCATTACATTAGCACTTAGCTGCTAGCCTTTTACATTAGCATTTAGCTGCTAGCCTTTTACATTAGCATTTAGCTGCTAGCCTTTTACATTAGCGTTTAGCTGCTAGTCTTTTACATTAGCGTTTAGCTGCTAACCCATTACATTAGCATTTAGCTGCTAACCCGTTACATTGTTGTTTAGCTGCTAGCCCGTTACATTGTTGTTTAGCTGCTAGCCCGTTACATTTTTGTTTAGCTGCTAGCTCATGACATTAGTGTAAAACAAACCTCTGCCTCTGTCTTTGGACTTTCTGTAGTGACTGAGCTCTTTAGAGTAGTCGTCATAGTCATCCTCCCCCATGTTGTCATAGTCATCATCTCCGTACTGGAACAGAGAGCGGGAGGGTTACTCACAATAAAACACATTTATTTTAAAATGACTTCTTTAGAGAAATGTTCTAACAATTTAGGGCTTTACAAAAAGCACTTTGAAAAACCATTTTCACACAATAATTAACTCAAATGAAAGAAACAGTGAAGTAAAGTAAATGATCTTAAATTGGACTTTATTTGGTAATAAGTGAAAATAAAATAAGGAATAAGTTCAGTTAGAGTTTGATGACAGCGCCAGAAGCTCACCTCCATGTCTTCACCATAACCATCTCCATCATCATCTCCTCCCATTCTTCCTCTGCCTCCTCGTCCTCTGCTCCCTCCCCTTCCCCTCCTTCCTCCTCTCATTCCTCCTCGGCCTCTCAGGCTCTTCATGCGACCTCTGCCCCCTGCAGGGACGCAAAGACACAAGTTAGGCAGAGGCGGCCCGGAAGTGCAAACACCAGCTAGATAATCTAGGACAAAGACCTCTTCCACCGCGCCCTCCCTCCTTGGCTTTGCGGTACTGGTTAAGCTCCTTTGTGAAGTCATCATAATCTTCCTCCCCCATGTCTTCCTCTTCCTCTCCCTCATAGTTATCATCATCGTAGTCATCGTAACCTCCGTAACTCTGCTTCTCCATCTTCATGTAGCTGCTTTTCTTTGGGCCCCCGTAGGTCCCGTGAGACTACAAAAACATTTGTAATAATAATCCTTTTATTTCAGCCATCAGACATATTTGCGTGAGTGGGAAGGTTCATCTTCAGACTTACAGAAGGGGCGTACTGATCCCCGTAGTCTCGGTATTTCCTCTTCTCACTGGGGCTGTAGTCAGAGTCATCGCTGAAATCGGAGTGGTCGTCATCAGAAGATGCGTGTCGCTGCAAGTTAAGACGTAAAAGACACATTTTAGAAAATAAGACCAAAGTTTCCCCAGGTTTAAAAAGGCGAGAAGCTAAACATGTTCTTACTTTATGCTTTGATTTGCGTTTCTTCTTAGACCTTCTCTTCTCTCGTTCCCGCTCCCTTTCCTTCTTCCGCTTCCTCTTGCGACGGTGAGACCTCTCATCCTCCGAACCGCTGCTGGCGTGGCGCTCCCGGCTTCGCTGAGGTCTCTCTGCTGCCCCTTCTCCTCCTGCTTCACCTCCTCCACCTGCATCATCACACCCATCTCCGCCTTGACCTGCAGCTGCAGGGCCAGCTCCACCCGCCTCCTCCTCCTCCACCTCTCCTGCATCATCTTCCAACTCCCCCTCTTCCAACTCCTCATCTACTGGCCTGTTTGTGAGAAGCAGCAGAAGGAAAAATTATTCCTTTTCTTGTCCCGTTTGCTTTGGAGGAGTCTCAGAAAGTACCCGAACGCACGTTCAAATAAAAAATAATAAAATTAAAGGGAAAAACAAACGGATCTGAGTAAGAAAAGTAGAAACTCCAGAATGAACTTTAGGGTTTATGGACATCAGCTTTATCTTTAATGCTTTTGAACAAGAAGAGTTGAATAAAAAGAATCCCAGTGAAACCACAACGCCCAGTTTGATTTATCACATTTATTAACGCTCCACTGTGTTTACTTCTTAATTCTAATGTTTATTCTTTCTTGCACCGCAGCAGTTTCCTAATGCTGTGATTCTCGTACTCATAAAACCTTCTGATAGTCGTATTTGCAGCAATGACCAAGAGCAGCACAGCCGACTTTTAACAACACGGATTTCAGCAACAGGAAACACGTTTATATTCCAACCGAACCCGGGAGACCAACGCAAGCGAGCGATATCAGCTTTGATGCAAACGTTAAAGATTTGAGGATCACCGTTTTCTTCGCACATCCACACAAACCCCCCTGAGTATGGATGTTTTGTCAGAAATGTGGGTTTTTGTTGTATTATTTTGTGTTTTTTAAATTGGGGTTAAGTCTGCCCCCCCACAGAGAGGAAGGAGCTCCGGTTGTAACGTGACACCTGAGAATTTATTGATGTTGTGCTGCAGGGCCACGGTCCACACACCATATCTGGTTGATCTACCTACAGCTCCACAGCCAGCTACTGGTCTGGTGGGTGAGAAAGCACGCAGCACTACGGGCGGTGAGTACGACTGATCTTTGAGGTGAAATGTCAGCTGCATGTGAACACAGCAACATACCACATCCTTAAAAAATCCCTCATCACCACCTTCATCCTGCTGGCTTCTGTCAAACCAGTACAGAAATTAATAAACTCCACCCATGTAACCGCTGAGAGTTGTGGCAGCCTGTGACTTTCTGGGTTATAAACCACAAAGTTGTCACAATAACAAAACAACCGGTCCTGAGTCAACACACAAAATCCAGCTACCTGCTCACAGCTGCAGAGGAAAGCACAAAAATCTGACATCCCATGTTTTCTGAAACAAACATCTGGAGAAACAACTCCAACTTAGTTTGGTCGTCCTGAAACTTGTTAAAGTATCAAGTCGGTGTAAAATATTAACAAACACATTCGCATTTCTCGACCCTACTGCCTCAATTCAGAGTCGAGCGCACCAACGAGCCCCTGGTGCTTCAGAATCAGACAGCCGTGATCTGCGTCTGGGTTGTGTTGTATGAGCAGGTAACTGGGTGGTAACTGGGTCTCACTCTGGACACACTGGTGGTTTCTGTCCTGATAAATATCACACACACCACAACAGACTTAAAGAGCAAGTCACCCCCTACCAGAGTATTACTCCCACTTCCCGTTTAAAAAATGCAACAAATGCTGTTGCCTAGCAATAGCCAATAGCAATGGCAGATTTAAATTCAAATGCAGTGCAGCATTTTTACCTGACGACGGCACAACACTGACAGTTTTAGGCCAAAATTTAAATTTTTACTAAAATGCACTGAAGTGCAAAACTATTGACTACACGTGTCTGCAGCACGATCAGACACACATTTATATAGTTTATCAGAATTTGGGGGTGACTTGCTCTTTAAAAGGTCAGATCTGCTCGTGTCCAAGAATTAAAACCCTTTAAGTTTAGCAACACAAATGTGTAATAAGTGGTTGTGGAAGGGGAAAGCTGTGATTTCCATCTGAGGTTTATTACCAGCAAATAAAACCAATCCGCTCACTGCCATCCCAGTAAACGATCCCAAGTTTTTATTTCTTTTCAGACAAAAGCCATCTTTCCTAACAGATGGACAGCACACTTTATGTAAGTTTAGCACAACCATTGGTTTAATAACAGGCCGCCATCATTAGCCGCGTGCCTGAATCTCTAAATCCAATAATAAAACAAAGGGCCGGTATTAAAATGGGGAATACTCACTGTGACAGGCTTTTCTTCACAACTCAAAAACTTAAGAGAAAAACCAGCCTAACCAGAGAAAAACCAGCCTAACCTTCTCAGGGCTCTGGTGGGGTCTGGAAGAGGCTAAAAGCTATTGTGAACCAAATGAGGAGTTTGGACAGGGAAACTTGGTTTGACTGGAAACACTTCTGGGATGCTTTGCAGACGTTTTAAACATTTGGGGGACTTTCGTGGATGTTTAGGAGCGAGTCAGTGAAGGCACGACTGTAAATACAACAGGCATGTCAGTCAAAAATCCCTCACGGCTGTAACGAGAATCAGAAATATCTACTTTAAATGCTATGAAAATAGATTATATTCGACGACTACAAATATTTACTCGCTTTGAGCGCTTTCGGTCGGCCCGAGTCAAGCACACGAACTGCGTCGGTAACTTAGCGACAGCTGCTACGAACCGTCGACCAAACGAGAACGTTTGGCGGATTTTTAAGTTGCTAAAAGCCCAAACTAATCACATAACAGCCAAGCTACTATAAAATGATAGTTGGCGCTTCAATAAATATGCACTGCAACCGCGATGAGCGCAAATCCACCGCTACACAAAACTCTAAAATTAGCCGTTAGCTTCGTAATTGTGAGCTAACAAGCTAGTGTTAGCCTAAGAGCAGGCCGCCCATTAGCAAGTCGGTTGAATATTTACCTGCAGCTGTAATTCACCAAATACTCGAATAGAAAGAACGCAGTTAGTTAAAAATTTCTTAAACACTGACGAGCAGCAACCGATTTTTGACAGTCGCTGAGCTAAACTGTCCAGCGGAGAGGAGATGAAGATAAATTGTCATTTTTCGACCTCGTCATTTTCCTTCAGACAAGTTCGCTGGAGTCGATATATCGCTGACTATGGTTTCATTAAATAAAATTAAGGGAGTAACGTTGGTTCCAGTTGTTATCGGGCCTTCCATTTGTCGTTGTCAACATGGCCGGTCTCTTTACCTCTGTTTTCCAGAAAAGGCGATTTTAATCCCTTTGACAAAAAACAAAAATAAACCCCGGGCTTTTGTGTAAAAGCACAGGACAAATAAATAATTTCATTTAAATATGACCGTAGAATTACTCGACCTTTCGTCAGTCAGAAGACTGTTGTGTTCGTGGATGGAAGTTGGGGAGTTTGGATGGACAGTCATGCTTTCCACAGCCATTTCCTCTAGCTACATTGAGGAGCAAAAACTAGACACTGGACGTCTACTGGCTTATGCGTCACTTCACTACAATCTACTTATTTTGGTTTTAGGAAGAGAAACAGTTCATAGTAGGCAACTCTCCACCACAGTTGTAAGAGAAATTTGCTGAAATTGAGTCCTGACGTTCTCCGTCCTACTGTAGCGATGTGAAATGACGACTGATAAAATTAAAATGGCCGACAGTCTTCTCCAAAGAGAAAGGGGCGGGTCTTCCGAAAGGAGAATTATGACGTCTGCACCTCACGGAAATAACCGAAGCAGAGAACTTGGGCGTAAACTAAGCCCTGGATTTGACTCGCAGGCAAAAGGCAAATGAAAATTTTGCTTGTTGAATACAGATTGCAAAAAATATTTATTTTTCATTAATATTGTGAGGAATGTCTCCCTATGTATTTAATTATAAGCATCTGCACACGTTTAAATTTTATAATTCACCTTTCTTAGATGTGTTATTTCATTTTCAATCAGCATTGAATACATTTTAAACATTGTCATATTATATCACACATTTTATGTTTGTTTTGAAAACTAAATCGTCTAAACGTGATGACAACAACACACGTTGATTAGTTTTGGGTTTATTTTATGAAGAAAAGCAGACAGATAGTTGCCTTTGTGTTTAATATGATATGTTTGTGTTTGACAAAAGACAAGAGTAAACTGTTTCAACAGAAAAGGAAAAAACATAATAATAAAAGGACGAGAAAGAAAGGAGGAAACAGGTTTTATTTCTAAATTGCCTTGTTGGGAACTGAGCCATTTTAATTCTGTTATTAAATAAATGTATTGGCCCTTTGATCATTTAATAGCTATATATAATAAAACGAAAACAAAAATCATAATAAAAACAAACAAACAACATACAAGAAAAACATTTTTTAAATGTTTTCTGAATGTTCACGAAAGCCCAAACTCAGGAAAAATTTTACCCACGCTTGTCTTGGTCGAAGCCACTAAAGCCAAATTAAAGAATATTTTTAGTTCATTTGCAACAAAAAAATCGGCTATTTACGAAGTGTTTACAAAATATAACTTTTAAAAGAGAAATAACAATAAATTATTAAGGTTATTGGCTACTTTTAGGCTTGAAATAGCATTTAATCATGCAAAAAACACACTCAGAACTCAAAATGTTATTTAAAAGTCCCCCAGATGTAATTTGTTTTCGTCAAACAAGTGTTTTATTGAAAAATAAACATGTTAAAAGTATTCAAGTGTGCTGTAACTACGACTATTGTTTTTCACTGACGTCATCATCCTGCGCCGATTTACAGGGACACTGGCGGCATTTTATCCATACATTTCAGCCGCTGCATGAAAAATAAATTGCACAGTAACAACATCGTTTAGAGGTATCTGAATCAAGCGATATGATCGAGAAAGAGGACCCGGTCATCAGCGAAGAGGAAGCGGCACAGTATGACCGCCAGATTCGGTTGTGGGGTCTTGATGCCCAAAAGAGGTGAGCTAGCTGGAGTTAGCTCTGAAGGCTAACCGACGTAGCTGAGGGCTGGACTTGTTGCTGTTTTTTCCCACATTTTCCGAATAAAATGCTCTCTGTTCGTAGGACTTAGTGAAGTTAAACGAATGAATACCAATTCAATTCAAAAATACTTTATTAATCCCAGAGGGAAACTGATTGCTGTAGTAGCTCAGAATAATAATAATAATCAGGTCATCAAAGAGTTGTTGTATATTACAATGGCTGTTGGCAGGAAGGATCTCCAGTAGCGGTCAGTGTTGCAGCCAAACTGAAGAAGCCTCTGACTGAAGACACTCTTCCGTTGTCGGACAGTCTTGTGAAGAGAATGCTCAGGGTTGTCCATCATTTTCTTGATTCTCTGGAGAATCCTTCTTTGCATCATCTCCTCCAGCGGTTCCGAAACTGCTGAAACTCTGGCTGAGTCCTTGAAAGGGCTTGCAGTTCCTCCATCTTGTTGGCCAGTGATCTCACATCGCCCATTATGATCGATGGAAGAGATGTTTGAATTTCCTCTTTCTCTGTCTCCATTTTGCTCCTGCTCTGCACCCACGCTTCTTGCATTTTAGCTCATTTGGGATTTGTGGCTTCAGTCGAGGTATTATTTCAGCCTTTCCAATAGTTAATCAACTGCTCCTGATTGTAAACCAGCTCGTTGCCATGGTTACGCATCATAACAAATGCTCAAAAAGTGAAAAAAGCTACAAAGTAGCAGTAAAAATCCTCCAAGCTTCACAGCACCAGAAACAGAAAAGTAAAGTGTCCAAAAAATACAGTTTTTCTTGAGAAACTAGAAGAAAAAATGTCCAAGAAAAGGCAAAACTTACATATAGTCAACAGCGCTACTCCAACATGCAGCCGCCCAGAGCAGCGCAGTTCTGGAAATAAAAAAACTGAATAAAGCAGCAATGTTTTATATAACTTGAATCTAATGTGTGACTTTCATATAAGAATAGATCGACTTATCGCTAAGCTTGCACTTTAAATGTGTAGAAGAAACCTGAACTGCAGCATTCAATTGTTAGATTTGGTTGACAATGACCTAAAATGAATTTAAACATCGCGTTTCATCCCAAAGCATTAGAGTTCGTAGCATGAAATTTGGTCGTGTCTTATTTACAGGTTGCGAGGCTCTCGTGTTCTTCTGGCTGGTCTAGGTGGTCTTGGAGCTGAAGTGGCCAAAAACCTGATCCTAGCTGGAGTTAAAGGCCTCACACTGCTGGATCATGAACAGGTATACACATACAGCTTTCACACACCTGTCAAAAGGTCTGAGAACACTGCATAGAGACAGGTTTATCTAGGCCTGTATTTATATAGTGCCTTGTAGAGCTCTACAGCCCCCCAAGGGGCTTTACAGCACAACCTACTTTTCACCCATTCACACCCTGATGCTGATAAGCTACACTGTAGCCACAGCTGCCGTGGGTGGGCACTTAACTCCTCTGCCATCATCACTCGCTGAAAATAAATGTTGTTTTTTTCATTGTTGGCTAAACGTCCGTATTCCGGTAAACTGAAAAAACAAAGATTTAAGTGGCAGATTTGGAGGTGCAGTACCACATCGTCCCACTAGATGGAGCTATTGTAACTCACGTGGGCTTGCTGTCCAAATATTCATATAGGCTACTGTAAAACTAAAACCTCACATATAAACAATCTTACATTTTTGGTGATAACGCTGCAGAACAAGAACAATACTCTGTTTCTGCATCGTAACAAAGGTCATTTCTCTGTATTTTCATCAGTTGGACCTCGGGTCTTGTCTAAAGAAGGAACTTAAAACAAGAAAGGTACGAAACCCAAACTGTTTGCACATTTAACACTTTTTAATTTCTCTGTGTATCTAATAGGTGTCAGAGGAGTCGTGTCGAGCTCAGTTCCTAG